CATTATTTAGAAAAAATATATTAATTATCAAATTGGTCCAAAAAGAAATAGAAAACTGATATTGAGAAATACACACTGAAACTGTCCTCAAAACTCCAGCCAACTTCAAGTGTTTCAGGACAAGGCAGTTAGGGGCCAGGTCTACCAAATCATAAGCAAAAAATTAACCACCATCTTATGTAAACACACCCAAAGCATACAAAAGATGGGAAAATTTTCAACTCATGTTCCCAGGCTAGCTCTCCTTGATAAGAAAACCAGCTGAGGACACCCCGAAAACAGAGCACTCAAGCTATGCTCACCCACATACAGGCAAAGATCCTATAAATTCATAGAAGGTTAAATATAGAAGTGAATTAAATGGGAAAAAAGAGGCTGAATCCAAGAAATGTAAAGATATAACATCAGAAAAAACCGCCGCATTAACAGACAAGATTTAAAAAGGCATTTCATTATGTACTGAAGTGTACAAAAAACCTTTGAAGCAAAATTCAACACAAATACATAATACCATTTAACAAACTAACATTAGAAGGGAACTTTCATTACCTAAAATCTATAGCAAGCAAACTTAAATGTGAAATGTGAAATGTTAGTAGCATTCTCATTAATGAAAGGAACAAGACAGAGCAGTATGCTACCGACTCTACTGTTCAAAACTGGACTCGAATGCATAGCCAGAGGATAAAAATAAAAAAATAAATAAAAGCTAGAAATAGTTTCTTAAAAAATGGAAATTATTTGTTGTAAATATGATCATTTTAGAAAAATCAAAGGAAAAGGCCACGGATTATTCAAATGAATAAATGACTTCAGAAAGCTGGTATATAGACGATAGTGAAACCAAGAGCCTTGCCGTACAAAGCAGTAATTATTAGAACGCATATACATTTGTTATGAACGACAGTCAAAATGAATTTCACTACACTGTGCAATGTTAGATAAGATCAAAAGATCTGTAGAAAGTAGATCTTTTTGAATAGAAAGTTAACAAAAGTCTAAGTCTGACTAATTAAGAGATCCCGTCATCGCTATGCATTTTCTCTGGCAGCTTGGAAATTTTCCTCGCTTGCTTTACCTCGTGCTGCAGCTTCTCGATCTCACATCATGCCTGGGACACGGACTCACTGTCTGCAAGCGGCATAAGTTGAGAAACTGGAGCTTATAGGAAGGTGATATTTCCGAAGAAGCCTTTAGCTTAAGAACCAAGAGCCATGTTTGGACCTGGCCCGGAAGAGAAGGCTTTGGGTACCACGCGTACCAAAACAGAGGGGGCACCACAGCCTTACGCTCCCAGGGAGGCCTGGGGCCGGGGATCCGGATGTGTGGCACACTGACTTCCGTCTCTGGCATCTGCGGGAGGTGGGACCTTGTGTGAGGGGAACGACGTCCAATCACTGGAGAGAGGAATCTAGGTTTTAAAGGCCAGGGGTGAGGTGAAGATATTGAGTAAGGTTTAAGGAAACCCCTTATACCAAAAGACAGAAAGACCCACAGTCCTGCTCTATCGTCATCCTTAGAACGTTCCTGACAGGAATCGCCCAACCCATAGCCCTCTGAATTCTGGAAACTCAAGAGCATTAATAGCCTTGGACCAGGGCAGAGTCAGCATCAAGCCCAGACAGAGGATTCCAGGTTCTATTGTGAGTCAATGAAGAACATTATGGAAGTTCGAAGCATGGAACGCCCCTCCCCTACCGTCAGCCCTTTAAAACCCCAGGCAGGGGTGGCTGGACAAGGCACACCCGACTTCCCGCCTGGCGATTCAAGGAGGTGAGGGTATTTGACTAGGTGCCTGCCTCCCGCCAAGCTCCTCCCCTCATAGAGGCGGCCCCACAAAGCCCCGCCCCTGCCGTCAGCCCTGGGAGACCCCAGGCAGGGGTGGCTGGACGTGGCACACCACACTTCCCCATCTGGCCTCTCCAGATGAGCGTATTTGACCAGGATGTCTGCCTCAGGCCATTTGCTGCCAGGAGTCAATGAATGACCCTATTTGCCTTGTGGGGGAAACCACCTCCCTAGAACAGTGGAGGCCCGGTATAGCCCAGACGCTGCTCTCAGCCCTGAAAGACCACTGGCATGGCAATAAGGCCCAGATGTCCCTTACTTTACCTTTTCGTGGGGGCAGGGTGGGGAGAGGGGTTCATAAAAGCCTTGGTCTAAGGCTAGATGATTCAGGTTAGCAGAGGGAGGGGGCCTTGAGGCGGCTTTGAGTTTAGTTCAGAACCTTGAGCAAGGACTGAGGAGAATTCTTCCTTTAGGACAAAGGGAGCCCCACAGAGCACGACCCCTGCTATAAGCCACAGAGCACGACCCCTGCTATAAGCCCTGGTGGCCCTTTAGCATGGGTATCAGGGTAAGATATCTACCTCACTTTATCCTCAGTAGTCACAGGAAGATGAGGATCCTGTTAGAAGGAGGTGACCCACGCCTTTCTAGAAGTCCGAGTGAGGACTGAGGGGGCTACACAGTCAGGCCCTTCCTCTGTGCTCAGCCCTGGGGAGATCTTTCATTCTGAGTCCCCCCCCTCCCCCCCGCCCGTCCACATATTCCAGGATATCAAGTGGATGAGAGTGTTAGTCTGATTATTATAAGTGTCAAGTCTGCAATAGGGAGATACCAGGCAGTCAAAGGAAGGAGCCACGATAAGCAGCCTGAGGATTGAGGGGACCACTCATCACAGAGCAGGTGTTTCACAGAGCCCTACAGGTGATGCCATCCCTGGCAGGGGTCCCTGGAGAAGATATGTTAAACTGAGGCCTTCCTAAACTCCTCTTCAGAACTTTCAGGGATGTGAGGGCCTTGCTGGGAAGGAGCAGTCCCAGGCCCTACAAGAAATAAAGGTGAGGACTCTAAATGAGGAGTGAAAACCCTAATTATCACAGGATGGAGAGCTCTGCCACAGAGCTCTGCCATTGCTGTCATTCCAGGGTATCCCAGGCAGGTGTGCTCTGATGAGGTTCCCCCTCAGTTCCTCCTCCAGGATGTCAGGGAGCTGAGGGCTTTGGAATGAGGGATCAGCATCAAAGCAATTGAACAGAGAGGACTTCCGGTCCTGCCAGAAGTAGAGGTAATGGGCCTGCATTTGAACTCGGAGAAACAACTGATATTCAAGAACAGAGAAGGCTCCACAAGGCCTGGACTTGCCAAACCCTGTATCAGCTCCAATAAGATTCAGGCAGGGATGGAATGCTGCATCCTAAGGGGCACTCTAGTAACTTTCACAGGGTCCACAGGGGAAAGACAACTCAGAGAACAGGAGGCTTGTAGGTTCCTAGAGCAGTGCCCTTAAGTCAACCTGCAGAGATGGCAATCAATAAAGCCAAAGGCGGGATTTCCCTACTAAGGATATCACACCATTTCATCCTCTTTCTTACAGGTCATCGAATAATTTGCCCTCTTGCCCATACTCTTGCCTGCTGTCCCTGACAAGTCATCATGCCTCGGGGACTGAAGAGTAAACTTCGTGCCCGTGAGAAACGCCGCCAGGCCCAAGAAGAGTCCACAGATTCAGTGGGTGCTCAGGAGGAAGAAGAGTCCCCTTCTTCCCCATCTTCTGGTTTCAGGGATGTTCCCCAGGATTCATCTGCCAAAGTAACACCCAGAAATCCTAGAGTGCCTGGGGGAGTCTGCTCCACCACCACTACTGATGCAGCTGTTTCAAATGCAAGATTTAATAAAGATGCCAGCAATCAAGAGGAGGAAAGGGAAAATTCCTCACAGGCCCAGGATAACACTGAGCAGTGGTACAGAGGTGCTATAGATGAAAAGGTGGTTATGTTGGTTCATTACCTGCTGTACAAGTATCAAATGAAAGAGCCCATTACCAAAGCAGATATGATGAGAAATGTAATCCAAGTGTACAGAAGTCATTTCCATGAGATCCTCAGGAAAGCTTCTGACCACTTGGAGCTGATCTTTGGCCTTGATGTGAAGGAAATCGATCCCAACAGGAATACCTATGTCCTCATCAACAAACTGGAACTAAACTGTGATGAGAGAGATAACAGAGGTATGCCCATGACTGGTCCGCTGATGACTATCCTGGGCGTGATCTTCACAAAGGGCAACTGCGCCACTGAAGAGGAAGTCTGGGAAGTGCTGAATATGATGGAGTTATTTGCTGGGAAGAAGAGTTTAATCTATGGAGACCCCAAGAAGCTAATTACAGAAGATTTTGTGCAGCAACAGTACCTGGAATACCGACAGGTGCCGGGTAGTGATCCTCCGTGCTTCGAGTTCCTGTGGGGCCCCAGAGCCCATGTTGAGACCAGCAAGATGAGAGTCCTGGAATTTTTGGCCAAGATCTATAATACAGTCCCCAGTGCCTTCCCATCCTGGTATAAAGAGGCTTTGCAAGATCAGGAAGAAAGTGCCCGGGCAAGAGCAGCGGCCAAGTCTTGCACTATTGCCATGGCCAGGGCACGCTCCAAGGCCTTGGCCAGCAGGTTCTCCCACACTAAGTGAAGTCTGAGGCAACTTCTTCACTTTGTTGTTAAAAAAAAAAAAAGTCCATGTTCTCATTAATGGAAGGTCAGGGTAGGGCTGGAGACAACAGAATGTTTGTGTTCCTATGCTATGTGTTAACTCAGATGATTTTTAAATTGTTTTTCCTGTTGATAAAAGGTTTATTAGCTTCAAAATCCAAATTTATGAATGAGAGTACTCAAATTTGTGCTGTGTATGAGATTTAAGAGTAAGAGATTATTATTTTGTAAATCAAATTGGAAAACTCTCCATCTTATTTAGTGATTTTGAACATGACAACATGTCAGTAGGTTAGGCATTTCCTTGGAAATGTAAAAGAATTCAGCAGTAAAATACTTGTGACAAAAAAATAGAGAAAAAAGTAAAAGATGACCAAGAACTGCATTCTCTATTCACTTTTAATCTGCTGTTTAAAATTAAATGACATATGCCTGGATATATATAGAGAGAGATTCAGGAATGTAGAATTAATAACATAATAAATTATATCTTTACACAGTCTCATTTATTTCTCAAACATTCCTTGAGCACCTGCTCTTTGGGAGGCTCTTTGCTATGTCAAGGTCAACAAGATCCACTGTGCCCATAGAATGTTAGAGTCTGAGAGCAGCTGTCAAGTCAAGAAGATGGTGAGATACACCCTAAGACCTTAGGACAAGTCAGAAAAAGAAGAGGAGGACACAACAGAATCCAGATGTGAGTGGTCAAATGTAAATGCCCTGAGGCAAGCCAGTTTGGGGCCTTGAGAAACTGCAAGTCCTTTGGTGTGAGTCAATTTTATATTAAGCTGGGAGGTGCATCAGATGAGGCTGTGGGAATGGTGGGCAGGGGCCAGACCCTCAGAAGGTGTGTCCAGAGTTGAGAGACTAAAGCCTGGAATAGAAAACTGCTTCTAGCAGTTACTTTTGAGTCATGGGTAAGCCAGAATTTTCCACCTGGGACAATAATGGATGGGATACTGCATCCTTTCCCAGTGTCCTTTTACCAGTGCAGTTGAGCATAGCACGTGAAATATGTGTTTTAAGCACATCATCCCCAGGGGCTTCTGAGAAATAAGGGTGATATTCACAAGACATGAGTATGCTTAGAAGCCACTGTGCAAGTAATCTTTGCTCTGGCATGGTAGAGACAAGAGCCCACTACATAAAAGTTCATTTTATTAAAGGTTATTTTGTGTGTAATTTATCAAACTCCAAATGAAGGTTAGATTTTTTATGGGGTTGAAATAAATGAAAATAGAGGTGGTTTGGATGGAAAGACAGTTGGAAGGGATGGAAGAAATTGGTTCTTGACACAAATTCTAGGATAGTTAAGTCTCATCCAACTGGAGAAGATTCCCCCACATCTACAATAAATAACATATCCTCAAAAAATTATGTAGTAATTTAGTTTTACTCGCTAAGCATCATATTGGCTGATTTATTGTGCTGTATAATAGAGTGCTGCATGTGCTTTGATATCTCTTGGATTTAAAAAAAAATAGAGCAGGTTTTGGTAGGGTCTGGGGTCAAAATAATAATAGTAATAATGGCAAATTATTAAAGACTCAATACATGTCAGACACTATGCCAGATGCTTTCATAATCACATACATCCCAGGAGTCCTACACAGCAGGGCTTATCAAGCTCATTTAATAGAAAAGTCTCATAGAGCTTTGCAATTTTCCTGACTTCACATGGCTCACAAATGTCAGAACTGGGACCAGACCTCTGGTCTGAATTTGATTAGGGCCACTCACTGTTCCACTCCTTGAATAAAGCAGATATACTGTCTCTTAACTCATTTCTATTCTCACTATTCCACAATGTCTCTGGGGCAATGAAATGAAGGAAGCTGTCATCGATGTACTAACCACAGGTATAATAAGTAAAGATGGAAATGATAATAAAAAACAATTTCAGGATGGTCTGTGGGTTTAATTTACCAGGGCTCCTCTTGCTCCTAGGACCAAAGTTTCTTGAGAGCTGACTGCCTTAGTCCAAGCACTTGAGACAAGTTCTAGTGCTTTTTGAATTACGTCACTCTTCCCCTGAGTCTTCTCTGGTGTGCCCTCGTGTCCAAATCCAGATCCTGACCTGCTGCCCAGCTTAATTTCTAAGTCTGCACTCTGCTCCCAGTGGAACAGATAGCCCAGAATCACCCGCCTCCCCTTGACTTAGAGCACTCTAGCTCCCTGCAGATGTCCTCTGCCTGTCCTGTCGCTGACCACGGAACCCCTCTGATAACAACAGCCTTGTCCACGTGGTTGTTTACTCCGGCAGTGAACTTTAGATGTCTGCTCATCTGCTCTGGGTGCTTCCACCACACTCTCAAAAAATGTTTTTTTCCAAATCGGCTTATGAGTAGAGTCTGATTTGGCACAGGGTCTACTAGCTCTTGAAAGATAGATAACCTTGAAGTTAGGAGGTTTCAGAACCAGACGAGATTAGTAAGAAAGGAGAATTTAAACTGGCGACTTAACTGGAGACTGGCCACTGAATCCATACACTAATGAATGAGCTTAACTAAGCGGCCAACAACCCAAGCCTCCCTCCTAAGTGAGATGAGGAAGGCCCGAGAAACTACTGTGTAGCAACCACGAGCAGATGCTGGATTCTAGCAGACCCTGTATAACTTCTCAGGAAGTTATAGTAGTTGTCTGTGGCTGCCGAAAGAAATTACCACAAATTTAGTGGTTTACAAGAGCACATATTTATTATCTCGGTAAGTACTGTCTACGTTTCCGTAGGGGTAAAGGCTGGACTGGCTCTGTGAGACTCTGAGCTTGGATTTTCACAGGACAAACTCAAGCTTTTGGCAGGCAGGCCTCCCTCTGACCATGAGCTCTGGGAAGAATCTCCTGTCCTTTGCGGTAATAAGACTGAGGCCCTGTTTCCTTGCTGACTGTTAGCTGACTGTCAGCTGCAGCAGACATAGCATCTCTCTTCTGCCTCCAGCCAGAGAAGTTCTCTGTTGTAAGGGCTCATGTCATTATATTGGACCCACCTAGATAATTCAGATATCTTTATTTTAAATTTGGTTTCACAACCTTAGTACACCTGCAAAGCAACTTTGGCAGCAAAAGGGAGAAGAAAATTCTCAGTGTATTGAGATTATAGAGGTTATTGAAAAGGTCACGCGGAAAGGTGCTATAGAGCAGCAGTCCCCAACCTTTTTTGGTATCAGGGACCGGTATGCCTATGAGAATCTAATGCCTGATGATCTGAGGTGGCATCGAGGCGGTGATGCTAGCACTGGGGAGCGGCTGCAAGTACAGATGAAGCTTCGCTCACCTGCCCGCCACTCACCTCCTGCTGTGTGGCCCAGTTCCTAACAGGCCACGGACTAGTACTGGTCCGCAGCCTGGAGGTTGTAGACCCCTGCTATAGAGTGAAGAAAGTGACCCCCTCCATGCTGAGACTTACAGTGTCCTTTAGAAAACTGGTATGATCCTGTGTTTGAAAACACTGGTCACATAGTAGGTACTAGAACAATTTGGAGTGTAGCAAGGCAATTTTGGCCTTCCCAGAATCTTCTCTAAGAATGAAGAGAGCTTTTGTATTCAGAGCGTAAGTGCTGCACTTTACTGATCACCCACTCTGTAACTGTTGATGGAGAGGCTGCCAGTGCTCACCCACGTGTGTCTCGCTCTCCTCCCTGGGCACAGGGGGCCTATCGTCCAGTCCACTTGTGTTAGAAAGGGTTTTGTGACAACCATTGCCACAGAAATGTGAACAGGAGCAAAGTTTATCATTTCCAGACCAAGGCATTTGAGAGTCAGAATGCTACTTCCATGCTTCCTGTTCAATTCAGCAGATCCTGGGCTGAGATGTGGAGTCACATGATGGGAGTAGCTTGGGTGCCTGGGCCACTTGACAGCGGACACTCTGCCTACCCATGTCAGATTTAATGTGCATGAGAAATAAACTCTTATAGTATTAGGACGTTCAGATTTCAGCCTTCTTCTATTATGTCCACTAGCAGTTACTTATCTGAATAACACACAGCTACTATTTCTGTTGTTAGTCTTACTTAAATATATGAATTATAAAAGAAATATTGTACATATTCTTCATGTGAAAAAATTCTAAAAATATGGAATAATCCCAATTCTGCCTCCTTACTATGGTCCTGTAAAATTCCGTCCCTACTAGAAGTAACCACAAAGAAAAGCCTTGTGCATATATTTTTAAAATTTATTCTAGACTTTTTCTTACATATATGTGCTAGAAAAACACACTGTTCGTACCTCTCTTTTAAAATGTCTCCAGTGAGCACTGAGACAAACTCCTGAGGGATCACAGCAGAGCGAAGACCCCATTCTCACTCCAGCTTACCATAAATTTTTATCTCTATTGCTTCTAGAGTATACCTCACTTGAGAATAATAGGTTTTATGACTCTTGCCAGAAAAGAAGTTCTTGTGGGGTTACCCTGGCATCTCTCTCCTCCTCACCATCTCCACTACCTACATGTTACATATACAGGTTTTCAATAGACACAAACTGAGATGTGTTTGAGGGAGTAGAGTGTGAGGCTCAGAATATTAAGAAGGAGTGTTTAGTTGAGAGGCAAAACCAAAGCTTTTCTCTTTGGAGAATATAAACCATAGGCTTCTCAATGAGGGACCCGAGAAGCATGAGACTTATAGCATAAACATGTACATCTTTGTGTAATATAATCATTGAAATAAATTCACATAAAATTTATTGAGTGCTTACTAGATGCCAGAGTCTTTTCTCCGACCTCTTTTCTAATAATTTCTGGTATCCTACTAGGTAAAGACCATCATTATTCCCATTTTCAGATGAGGAAACTAAAACACAGAGAACTTGTCCAAACTGGAAGGGGAGAATTTAAAAAGGGAAAAAAAAAGGTAAGAGACACTGTGAGTTTTTACTGTACATGTGTAACCATGTACATCATGTTCTGCCTCTTGCCCTTGTCACTGAATAAGATGTACACAGGATCTTTCTATGAGAGCACATATAGATCCAGTT